ACCTGATGATTGTAGTGATCTAGGCACAACCATTACCTAGACCCCTACACATCTAGAAACGCAATTTTATCGTCTTCCTCCGTCTCTGCCGTCGGTCAAACCGACTACAACGCGGAAACTGACGCCCTGGTCGCGAAGATTAACAACGCGCATCCATCTCTCAAATCCTGAATATGATTTATACGTGGGGATCTCTGATCTAGATGTCGATCAATGTGCGTTCCGGTTTTGTCCTGGAGCTCACCTTAGGGCCCGCGCAGGCGCCGTATAATGACTAGTAAGATAGGATGAAACGAATACGACAAAGCAATGGGAGACCGAAATGGCCATTTCTGGCTTATTAGCTGTCATTAGCCATTCATACGCAATCCCAGATGTGGATAATCCGGGATTCGAGCCCGGGACCTTTGGTCATTGAGTGTACCACACCAATATTGCATCATGGGCTCGTTGCTTTGTCGGTTGAGATCGGAAGTAAGATAGAAATGTGGGGACCGCCGATTTAGGCTCAGTGAATCTGGGAGTGGAAACGGTGTCTATTAGCGACCTCCTCGATTGGCTACTTGTTTTTCTTAAGCAAAGTCTGAGCGCTGAATGAAGAAAGGGAGGACATTGCACTTGGTAAGGGTGGGGCCAGAAGTGCAGGATATATACAGTTAAAGGCCTACTTTTTGACTTCACCCATAGAACTTGAAGCTGTAACTGGGTTCTGCCTAGAAAACTGTTTCCTCAATCTGGCCACATTCGTCCTCATTACTGATATGCGTTCGACTATTCGCGGAGCTTTCAATTTTATTAAATCTGGCCGCATTAGATCAGCAGTTAGTATCTTTAAGACGTGAGACGGTTTCTGGGGGAGTAGACTCACAAATTTTATTTCGGACAATTATCCTCCCTTGTAGTTTATGGCGCAGTAGCGACACAGAAAACCTTTACCAATGCCTGGATTTCATGCAGCTCATATGACGACAATGTTGTTATGGAGGTCTTGTCCACACATTTCTTAGTGTTCCAGTTCGTTTGAGCTACCATTCGAAGTCTTCCTTTTATTTTCAGTTCATGGAATAAAGGCAAACATTCCCTTTAACATGAGGACTTTGCAACTATTATGTTATCCAGTTTTGGTGGTGTCCAATAGCTGTCTTAAAAACTACCCTCTTGGCTTTTTCGCGCTTTTCACTCCCCAACACC